TATATATATATATGTATGTATATATATATGTATATATATATATGTATATATATATATATGTGTGTGTGTTTTCTTAAATGTAGCAGTATCTTTAACTGATAAAGATAATCATTACAAAGATGATGAATATGGCGATAATCGTAATAAAGCTGAAGATGATCATGGTGGCGACGATAATGACACAGATGATACTGAAAATCTGTTAAAATTCATCTCAGTTTAAACTCCATCTTGTACTAGTCTTTAATTAATCACCTTTCTTTTATTTGTCCTCCCTCTACTGGTAATATACAGTATGTGATGTACAAATGCACACAAACAAAGGCCACATTCATTATCAGAATATTTTCTGTGTTCAGACACTTCACTTACATTATACATTATTGTACATTATAAGGCTTCTTAATTAATCACGTTTTTTTTAAGATTAATCTGATAATTTACAGGGTAGATGCGGTTTGGGATTATTGGAAATAATCACAATTGCGATTTATAATTATTCAAGGTAAACTGTCATTCCTAAATATGACTAAAACGTTTTTTTCTGTAAATTGCTGGAACAGAAAGACTATTAACAGCAGGCAAATATACAGTATGTGTTTGACAATATGTAAAAGTATAGTCTCAAATTCTTCCAAAAAAAATAACTATAATACATTTTTGTTCATAGTGTTGTCCTTAACAATATTATTCAGTCTTACGTTCCTCACAATCCATTTGACAATAGTGTGATTCAACTTGTCAGTCGTAGACTTACTCACTGCCCTGCACCCAGTGACGCTGATCTGGCGCGTCTGAGTGGAAGGTGAAGCCTCCGCTGGATAAGATGGTGTTTTCAGCTCCAACCGTGTGTAAAAATAATAACGTGTGTTTATTAACGATCTATTAGAGCAACAGTAAGTTAATGCACAGTAGAATTATTGGCTGTACATTACGTTAGTCAGTGTGTTAACATGGGTTTTACATTTGAATGAGAATCATTTTTCACAAATTAGTTATTGTGACTGACGTGTTATATTCAACAGCCCTATTAAATTTACAAAATTTCAATGTGAATTTCAATATTGGTTTATAATGTAAAACAAAAAAAAACACTTTTGTTATTAAAATAACTCTATCCTTTAACAATAAAAGATATCACCTCTTAACTAACAAAATAAAAAAAAAAACATTTTCATAGTTTAGTGTAATTACAAAAGTTCAGTATCAACAATGTTAATGTTAATTTTTGTGTCTCCAGGTACGTTGGGGTGAGAAAGGTTCCACAGAAGAGGGAGCAAGACTGGAAAAAGCCAAAAACGCCACAGTGACAATTCCTGAAGACTCAGAGGAGCCTATAATCCAGCGTCCTCCCAGAAGTCCTCCACCCGTTGTCCAACAGAATGAAAACAAGTGGTACACACCGATCAAGGTGAGAACTTCTGCTGCGATTCCACTTTGACAGCTGTTTGTCATTATTCTATGCCGTCAAACATAGAAACATATGAATAATGCTTTCGCTGTCTTTTTTTCCAGGGTCGTATGGACGCCATCTGGGCTCTGTTCCGGCGACAGTACGATAGAGTGTCACTCATGCGTCCCACGTCTGCAGATGAGGTAAGTTGCAGGATAAAGAAAGTGAGGGTCAGCAGAGTCACTGCAGTTTTGGTGGCTGTGGTATAAAATACAGGGGGGGTACATTTTATGACCTCCTCCACCTACAGCATTTCATCGTTACGTTGCCACACCCCCTACGTATAAATTTATTAAGAAAGCCTTCTTGGTGGGACCTCATCCTTTGGGAGCAGTGGTGGTGGTTTGGTGGTTAAGGAAGTGGACTTGGCTCCTGAAGGTTTCAGGTTCTAGTCCACCAGCTGCCAAGTTACCACTGAGGTGCTCTGAGCATGACACCGTCCCCACTCACTGCTTACCTTAAAGCTGCCCACTGTTCACTTTGGTGATGGGTTAAAAGCAGAGGTCACATTTGGTTGTGTGCAGTGGTGAGCTGTGTCACAGTGACAAGGAATTCACTTTCCTTTCCTTTCTGGTTTCTTTATTTTGATGAGGAAACGGCTCTCTTTTTTTCTTTCTTTTTTTTGCTGGTCATACGCCACTTTTTTTTTTTTTTCACTTTTTGCACAACATTCACTGTCACTATCGCCATGTTAGATTAATAGTTTTCTGGCCAGGTTCAGTTTACCCCTAAAATATGTATATATTTTGGTCCTTTAGAGTTTGAAATCATTTGTTAAACTGAGCAGTGGGATAATGGCTCGTTTGTGCCTTTGCTAAAATGAACTTTAGGGGAGAAAGAATTTTTTTTTGACGTCCTCAATGGATTTCCTTTGTCTGTCTGTGTTTTAAGATTGTATTGGTTCAATTTTGGAATAGTCTGGTTACATTAATGGTTTTAAACGTTGACATGATGAGTCTGCAGTGAGTCTGAAGTTCTTTGTAACAGGTTCAGTGTCTGTGGCCTTGGGCTGGTTTAGGGGTCAAAGGTAAACTCCCATGTTGGATGGTTGACAGGAAATCTCCTGGGTCTATTATTTGTACATGTACAGGTGTAAGGAAGCAGGATGGAGCAGACATCTGTTCAGCTCAGGGAACCGGTGGTCTACACACATCGTAGCCCCCCAGCACTCCATGCTGTCCTCAGTGCTGCCCCTGCAGCCTGCCTGCTGTACTGTAGACACACACAGAGTCACAGAAAGACACACAAAAAAAGAGTCAAACTGTTTTTTATTCCTTTTTTGTTCCTGTGGACTCACATTTTAGCGCCTCAGGGCCTTTACTCACACACCAAAGGTAGAGCTGTGGATGGTGGGGCCCGGAGGGGGCCCATTGAGACGGTTGGAGGGGGGAGACACAGCTGCAGCGGCGAACTGGCCTCAGGCACAAATAAAAGCAGATCTGATGTGTTGTGACTGTGTTGTGGGTGAGAGCAGCACTTCAGAGACGACTTTCGCAGCGCAACATCTGCCGCCAAGTTTTAGCCGGGATCGACTGGGGACGGACAGGTAGAGAGGGGACGGGGCTTCTTCTGATGTTGACTCAGGGTCTTTGTGAAGAGAGGGCGCCCTCTGTGTCTTTGTGTGTCTTTATCCTGTCTCTTTCTCCCCTCAGTGGTGTGTTTTTGCAGCAGCTGTCCACAGAAATGTCAGGGACACGGAGCAGAATAAATGATTCATGAACATCAGTAAACTTTTTAAATCCTCCAGCAAAAGCTACAGATGTTCGTTAAACCTCCACAGAGCTGCAACAACAAATTGATTATTGATCAAAAACCGAACTATTGTCAACTTACTTATTATTGTCCTTGGCAAAATCTCCAACTTTGGAGGTTTTATTAATAATTAACCATTAAATTAATTTTATTTATTTTGATTGTTAATTAAAATAATTTATATCAAATTATTTAGCTCAATGACATTACAGTTTAATGTTGCTCAATAATATATTTAAAAAATCTTTTATGTCTGATTTATTTATATTCAGTCTACTATAATTATCAAAACTACATGAAGACGAGATGTTATCACCATAGTTATTCATTTTTATGCTTATACATTTTTCTCTAATCTCTTACTAAAACCAAATAAGGATATAAAAACTAAATATGAAGAATATAATCTTTAAAAATTTTTTTTTAAATGTTTACTTCCTTTGAAGTTCTAAAATCATAAGTACGGTTCAGGTCCAGCCTTTAGACAACAAACTCAATTAGAAATGGCTTTTCAAAATAGAAATCTATTTAATTACTATGCTATTACATATGATAAAAAATAATCAAATAAAACTAGGCACAAATTGCAGGTCAAAACAGTCCGTTATCTGAAGCTTTTTTTTTCTTCTTCTTTTTTCCATTTTTTTTTTTATATACAGAGCATATATTTACAACCTTGGGTGTCGTGACCCCACGTCGGGTAGCCTGGGATTTAAATTAAGTCATCTGAAATGACTAGTAAATTATAAAAAAAAATACTTGTAATTTTTTTGTCAACTAATAATTTTTTTTAAATTATTGTTATTTAAAAACACCACACGACATCATAATCAAAATCTTAACCATATTATTTCACTTTCATTAATATAAAATACAGCAGATTAGAATATCTGAACTGGTCCATCTTGATTGTTGGCTACAGGTATGTCTCTGTAAACGTAACGTCATTGAGGGTGATGAACAGCTGCGAGCCACTGTCAAGAACAATAAGCAGCAGTGAATAAAGGTAGAAAACACTACGTGCTGTAACAGTAACAGGAAGTAAACAATAACAAACATCAGTTAAAAACAGCAGCAACTACAGCAGTCAGAGAACGTTGTTATTGTGTCTCTGCTCACAGGAACGTTAAAATTCATTTGATAGTAAAAGGCCTTAATAGAAGGTAAACAACCTGCTAAATGACATTAGAGCTGAAATGCAGCCGTGGATCACAGAGCATGAGATTTTACTCATTAACATGGATAATTGGAATGAAATCAAAGCATTGCAATGTGATCTAATGACAAGGAAGAGAAACCAGGGAAAAGACAAAAGTCATAATCCATGTTTATAGCCGTAACTGGGGAAAAGAGGTGGAGCATTCATGTCAACAGAAAGAGCAAAATCACAGGTTCTGTCTTTATATAGACATTTTCATCTTAAAGTGATACAGTATAAAAAATTTCAACTAATTATCTGCAAATATACTTATAAATAAACTAAGTAAAACTAAGTTAACTAAAATAAACTACTAGGTTAAGAGGTAGCCTGGAGGAGACTTATGTGTAAGCAACAAACAAATAAATAATAATAAATCAACCAAAATAATATTTATCTCATAACAAATAAAAGTGGATAAATCATTTCAGCGAATAGTAAAAGTAAAACTAAACATTAGACTAGATATTTTATAACTACATAGTTAAGAAAAGCCTAGATTTAGCTCAATGATGTAAATGTGTCTTTAAAAAATAACCTACAAACAAACCAATATATTTGCATAAAATATCCACCACTAAACAAAAATGTCCCGAAAAAGATTCAATTTAGTTTTCAGTACAAAACCTGAGCCTGTTTAGTTAAACTTCTATCTCTCTTTTTTTAGGTTTTTATAGCCATCTCTTGTCACCTAGTGGTAGAGTTTGCATCTGCCTTTCACTGTAGCATTGATGAAAAATACAAATTTTTTGGTAAATAAGTAATAGTTTTCTGATTATTTACATGAAATTGGATGATTTTCCCTGACACACTAGTGTGTCATTGCACATTGGTTTGGAAACACTGGCCTGTATAATGGTAGTGACCGTGGAAGCCACGATGGCTGTGAAGATAATGCTGGTCCATAATGCAGCAGCAGTAATATTATGGAGCTCCGTCCTTTACCATGAAGGGGGTAGCCACTGTGTTGGTAACTGAGGTGGTGGAGATGTTGGTGGAGGTGATCTTAGCTCAGATGATAACAGACTATAGTAGTTTTGACCTGTCTGTCTCATTAGTTCTATCATTAGCTCTAGCAAGTGTATGACTGACATGTCCACTCCACTGCTGCTGCTGCTGCTGCTGCTGCTGCTGCTGCTGCCCCCACCTCCAGTCTACACCAGCACTTCCAACATCTCCTGCAGGTGGAGTGACAGCTTTAACTGGGTGAAAGACAAAGTGTGGACGAGCGAGCCCGAGCTGAATAAGCTTGTTTTCTTTTTAACCCGATTACTTCTTTTCACTTGGACAGAGGGAAACTAGGACAGATGTCAGTGGGACTGGTTATAAATTCAATAATGACCAAGCACGCGCACACACACACAACGAGGCTGCCCCCTCCTTCCTTGTCTCTTCATGTACATGAGTCCGGGCTGAGACCTGCTAACAGGATTATCTTGTGTGGATGTGTGTGTGTGTTTGTAATAGGAAGAAAATGATTAGTGAAGCATTGACAACAAATCCCTTCATCTTCTGCCGAGAAATATATTTTAAAAATGAAATCAAAGTAATTTATTTTTTTTATTCTCTTTTTCTGAGCAATAGAGAGGTTTTTCTTTAAAATATTTCTATTAATGTACATTAATTAATGGTCATCTGTTAATGGACTCACTGAACTAATTCCTTTATTTATAATATTGTGCAACATTATTTTATTTTATTTATTTATTTTTTGACAGCTGAGGATACAATATGTTGTCATCTTGACTGCTTAGAAAAACCTTGTGAGAATTTAAGTTGGTTGGAGTTAGTTTAGGAGGATTTTTTTTCTTTCTTAACTAATGTTTTTTTTTAATGCTTTTGTCTTTTTACAATCTTTTCAGGATTGCTTCTTTAAATTTTAACTCTTGCCTCTCCTCCACCTCCTCCTTTTCTCCTGTCCTACTGTCCTACTCCCTGTCATTGTCTTGTTCTTTCAGGAACTCCTTCCTCCTCTTTCTCCTCCTCCTTCTTCTTTTCCTCTGCTGGTACTTGCACCTCTCCCCTTCCTCCGCCCTATACATTTATCTTCTGTTCTACTTCCTGGTGATCCAAACTGAACTGATGTCCACTTTTATTATTATTATGATTTTTTTTTTTTTTTTACCAAGAAAGTCTTAGACCAGCCAGAGTGATGGTGCTGTTGTCGGCATTTTCTTTTTCATCACAGATTAA